CCCCCCCCGTACCCCCTTGAACATTCACCAAACCATCTAGCTCATCCCAACTTTTCCGAGAATCGCGAACCATAACCGATATTCCCACGCCTCGAGTAATCTCGAAAACCAACACATGAGTGCGTCCTAGTGATTTTCATCTTCTTCATTTTTCCAATCAATTTCACACGATTTATCGGCACCTCTAGGAGCCACCCACTTTACCGGCAATCGTAACCTAGAGGAGTGTAAAATCCAATTTTTCCCCTATAGACAATAGACACCACCGTTACCAGGTATCGCTGAGTGGAAAATATCGAACGCGCGATTAGTCGACTTTGTGTGTCGGCGATCGATTGACGAGCAACTTCACGCTGGTCGAATCGAGACATTTAAATTGGATCGAGATCCTGGGTGCAAAAGTAGGTAAAATTTTTTCAAATTTTTCGACTCCTTTAATGTCCCTAGGGCAAATATGAATTTTAGGGTTGAAGTTTTTTTTTTTTTTTTTTTTTTTTTTCAAATTAAATAATTCCTTAAGTCACTAGTGTATTTTTGTTAAGCTTTTTTTTGTCTCTAACTGTTCCCATCTCTCTCTCTCTCTTACTCTCCTTTTCATCCCCTTTCTCTCATGGGCGCGCACGCCGATATCCTAGGGAAATAAAAAGCTTTGAGGATCGCGCAGGACGGTAAGAAGTCTGCGCGAGACGTGGAGTGGACAGCCGGCAAACTTAACTCGAACGAAGACAATCGGTCTCACTCCTGCGACCTTCTCCAACACACCTTCTCAACCTACATTGTGCTTACTGCCAACCATTGGGTAACCTCGAGCACCAACACCCTATCGCCGACCTACCAAAATCCCCCCCCCTCCCCCCTCAACTTTTCCACCCTTCTTCATCCCGGCCCTTATACTATTCGGAGAAAAATAAAAGTTTTTCCCACCGCCTGGAGCCACTCGACCGCGATACAGACTAGTCTCTTCTGGAAAAATATCAATTTTTTTCTCCCCCCCCCTCCCTCCCCCTCTTCATGGTCTTCTCCTTTTCCACCCCTCCTCACCCATCTCCACGTCCTCGTCGTCGTACCGTAATCTTTAGCGTCCTCGACGCGACCTGTATAATTTGTTCGGACATCACTGAAACGGCCTGTAGCTTCTTGAAATTTTCGTCATTGATTTGTCATAGTGTTTTGTCGATTTTCTTTACGTCGATTTCTGTACGTTCGCTCGAGTGTTAAGGTTCGCGGGTTCATTTGCACGAAACGAAATTTCATTTTAGTCTGGCCTCGTGCATTGTAATAGGGAAAATTAACGATGCCCGTAGATAAGCATTAATTGCTGTATAACAATTAGTGAGCTATAGGTGACTGATTAATATAGCAATTATGCAATGCGAATGAAATACAAGTCAATAACTTCGATTAATTTTATCGTCATTTCACCGTATTTCGATAAATCATTTCGATAAATCGAGTCAAAATATTTTTTATCCTTATCATTGTTATCTTCCTTATCTTTGTTCCATTTTGTACCTTATTGCTTTTCACGCTTGTCCGTGTACTCGATCCACGCATACCTGCATATGGCGTCCCGAAGAAATTATTTGGAATGAAAAAAAATTAGTTTCGTCAAAAAAAAAACACCCGGACGTCTACTCGGACTTTTTTTTTGGTAAAAAAAATGAAAATGTGGAATTTTGAAAAAAAAAATTTTTACATTACTCCCCTTACGCGCGTCCGCGAAGCATCAAGATATCTTGTTAACTCGTTGGTCGGCGGCTCTTTTTATTCCGTCAGTTCAACTTGACGCAGGAAACGAGGAACCGGACAGTTATTCGGGCATTCTGCGTATGAGAATTTAAAAACTTCTAATTAAACGGTCGTTGCGTAATGAAAAAATACCGCAAATTTTTTCGTTTCCGCCTCATTTCCTTGCCGTCTCTCCGGCGAACGTCTGCCGCGTAATTACGCTATTCCCAACGAACAAAGGAGTCTAGGGAAATATGACCAAGCCTCGTCGCACGTGCACGGCGTCCAATAATTTCTAGTGACTTTCAATACGTACCCAGCTCCGTGCGCTTCCGCAACTATTATACTTTAACGTCACTCTCGTCCTGGTAACGTTACGAAACTAGTTACTTGCCCGCGAAATGGTTTCGTGTGACGTTAGCTGGTTATCCAAGACAGATGGCGCTGTTACGAAAAAGCTAACGAATGATCATGATACGCTAATAAAATTGTACTCGGAGCCATTACTCAGGTGAGCTTTTCTTGCGCGACGCCATTTCGGTATTACTTCTCGTATCTTACTTCCGCCTTGCCGTTTCCGGGACTTTTCCATTGGCTTACGTCGCTTACGTAGACAGCCATTCACACGTGCGCATATATACAGTGTGTGTGTATATATATATATATATTCACAGAGAGAATTGCCGCTTCTCTGCCGTAACAGGTCACACAGCGGCAAAAGTCCCAACACGTTCAGGACTCATCACTTCCGGTTCTATTGTTCCATCCAGTTAACGTATCAAGCTTTTACGTTTCTCCTGCGCGTCGACGCCTATTACTATTGTCCTTATACAGGGTCTTTCATACCTTCGCGATAATTGTCCACTCCGGACAGCGTTGGTAATTGTCACTGACATTGTCGGAGCTTCTTCTCACTATGAAAGCTCCTTCGGGTTATGAAAGCTTTCCCGTAAGAATAATAGGATTTTATGAAAAGCGATCCTCCCCCACTCCCTCCCCCTCCCCGTCCTGCCACCCCTACGTAGAATGCAGATACATCCCACCGGTTTATCCCTAGGACTTTAACGACCCTGATAAAAGTCATAAATTTTATACGGTCACTCGTGACGTCTAGTTACTTTTAGCCTTCAACGGCGTATATCCACTGGTGCCCTGGGCTACGTGTATATACGTATATAGGACCGCGAGCAGTGCCGTACCACGAGGGTAGACAAAATATAATCTAGCTGTAGCCGCTACGCGCGCTGGCCATAAAATATATAGGGCATGTCACTATTGCGTCAGCTTTTCGTTAAGCTTCCTGCTACGTTAAGCGTAAATAATAGTAGCGATAGTGGCCGTCATGGCGCTAGTAGTAATCATGGTAATACGTTTTTCTGTTACCTCAGCCGTCATTAT